TTGGGAACAGTGACTCTGAGGATGGTCCATACTACATTGGAAGATCGAAATAAGATATGAGACTCCAGCTACATAAATGACATAGCTGGAGTCAATATATCTTACATCGCGTTTCTGCACCATGCATGCAATGGGAGGCCAGTGGAAGCAAACGTTCCTGTCAGCTTTCCTTACTCCTCATGAGGAGCAGTACTGCCAATAGGGGCACTCTAAATTCGATTTAGTGGGTCTTTAGTAGATCCACTAAATCAAACCCAGAAGATCAACCATAGCAGCATCAATCTTACATGTAGTTTAGACATATCTCTGTGAGTAACCAGCAGAACAGAGTCTGGGTACTCCAGGGGGGATGTTCGGAAACTTGGATGAGGGTTGATTACTTGTACAGAGACAGCGAGGTGGTGGTTTCAGGGAGTTAACTCATAGCTGGTATAATAAGAGCAGGTTGTATCCAAGTGCCTCACAACACTGGGTTCTCTGAGATGTCACATACCTGCATTTTCACAGGCTGAAAAATAGCTCACAAATCCCACGGTATTGCTCGTGCAATTTTATTGTGGTTCATACATTAATTTTCCAACTCCATGCTAAATTCTGAGGCTATTTGACATTGACATCCTGCAATAGTGGTGTCCAGAAGCAGACTACTGGCTGTGTGAAGTAGCTCCTTTAATTTGACGCTCACGTGCTATTAATGTCATTGCATGAACTCTTGTTTTCACATTACAGCTCAATACAAACAAAAAAGAGAGATGGAATGTTTTTATACTATGCCCTTCATAATCATAAATACTTCCATAAAGTATCCATTACTTGTAATACAGAGCTAGAATGCAGATTTAAAGGTGACTTGCAAAGGAGCATGACAAATATCGGACTGTGTCCTTTTTGGTTCTTTATGATGCATGAAAAAGTTCAGCAAAGGGTTTCTGATTTTTCATTTCCTCACGTTATATTTCAGGCTTGGTCTTTGTGGGATTTTCTAGAGAATTTAGGTGGTTTCAGGGTTCATTACTATGAGCTCTTAATAGCTGAATTGCAAGAAATGAAGGTTTTAATTTGTGAACAGACTTCCGTTCTTGCATATTACATGCATTAAAAGAGGCCAGGAGGTTCAACCATAGTTAGAGCTCCATTTTGCCAGCTGTTGTACGAACACATAGGCTATGTCTATACTGTGCAGTTTTACGGAAGAAGTATACAAATAAGGCGAAGTGTGGAATATTGCTGCACCTCATTTGCATAATTAATGAGCAGCCACTTTTCGCTCGAGGCTTTTGTGCAAAAAGGAGCCATTTACACAGCTCCATTTTGCGCAAAAGCCCCCTCTTGCGCAAGAGCCATTCTTCCTGAAAAAAAGAGGAAGAATGGCTCTTGCAGGAGAAGGGTTTTTTGCGCAAAAGCCGCTTGCACAAAAATGGAGCCTTGTTAATTATGCAAATGAGGCACAGTGATATTCCATGCTTGGCCTCATTTATGTATTGAGAGAGAGAGAGAAAGAGACAGACCAACTTCTGAAGTAGCAAAACAAAGTTTTAGCACTGAAAGCAGAAGTCTCACTTGCCTAACCAATACCAGTGGTTATAGGCATTGTGGGAAGAAGGTAGTTATAATATTAATTAATCATTGACATTGAACTATTTTGTTGTTTGTGTTTAGTTTTCCTATTTGACTGTCCTTATGAATGATAAAGAAACCAAAAAAGGGAGTTGGTCCATTTCTCAAACACCTCTCCCCTCCCCCTGCATAGACTTTACAGAACACCTCAAAATTCCTATCTGAAAGTAAGCAACTCTAGCAGAAGAATCTCTGAGACGTGGAGTGACACTGTGGCCACATGGAAGTCAATGGGAACTTTGCCGCTGACTTTTATGAAGCCAGGGTGCCACTGAGGTGCCTAATGAGGTATGTCTACACTGGAGCTGGGAGGCATGCTTCCAATCAAGAGCAAGCAGACTCTGACTAGCTCAGCTTGAGAGGGCACATTAGAAATAGCAGTGTGGATGTTGCAGAACTAGCTGTGGCTTGGAATCTTTTTGTTTTCATTCCCCTCCTCCCCCAAGTTTGTTGAAAAGAAGAGAACCTGGCTCCGAAAAATGAAATGTCCCAAACTCTGCAAAGCTACTCTGTGTGAACGCAATGTTCAAACTGCACCATTAGGCGCACCGATGAGGAAATGGGCAAGTTAAGGTTGAATGTGCATCTCCAACTCTCCCCCTTAGCTATGTGCATCATGAACAAACTTTAATTTTATTATCAAGATGTGCAAGTGTAATTTTCTTCTGCAAAATTTCTTGTGCTGTGTAACCGAAGTAACCTGCGATCCAAATGTTATAGGCTATTTCTCCGCATCCCCCCCCCACACTGATCCATATGCTTAATTTTATTACCATTGATTGCAACAGGACTACTCTACCTGCAATATCCATGCCTCTCTTCCCCCCCCTCCACCCACCAATGACATTCCTATTCCAGAGGCTGAACCTCTTTTGCACTTCAGGAGAGGCCTGACCTGTTGCAACACCACAGTCGTCTGGCACTGACAGAACCCCCCACCCCCCGACTTTGCCACACCCGGCTTTGTGTGAGTGTCTGATTTCAAAGTGGAGGCTTGGCCCTGCTACCCAGGAGCTCCCCACATGTGAGTGATGCTTCTTTCAGGCCCTGCTGGGGAACCTGCGACCCCTATCGCAAGTGCCAGGCACCGCCTCAGGCTTCCTATTGACTGTCCCGCTTTCACCCACCTTTGCTGTTGGTTTATAAGGAAGGGGCAGACCTCAAAGCAGTTTGCTGGGTCCGCTGGTCACCATGTCTGCATCCTCATCACCAAAGGAGGCACTTATTCCCCTCTCGCGCTCTCTGATGGATGAGCATCACCAGAATGAGGACGTGCACCCCGACGCTATTATCTACCTCACAAAGGGTTTGCTCAACAGCTTTCCACTACTACCCTAGTCCACCTCCCTGCAGGACCTTAATCTCATTCTCTCTGCTCTTGTGACACCGTTCTTCGAACCCCTGGCCAAGTGCTCGCTCTCCCACCTCTCAATTGACTTTCTTGGTGGCCATTACTTCAGCCAGATGGGTCAGTGAACTCACGGCCATGCTGGCAGCACCTCTCCCCTGATGTTCTGAAGGAACAACATATCCTTGTGCCTCGGCTACAGCTTCCCTCCCCTCAAAGGTGGTGGTGGAATTCCGTCGGTATCAGAGCACCCACCTGCCAGTCTTCCACCCGAAACCGCATGCTTCCCCCACTGAGATGGACATCAAGTCTATTGCATGCTGACCTTCTACCTACGCAGGGCTTTGGCCCTTTTACACGTCCCCAGAACTATTTGTGGCCATGGCTGAATGCCCCAAGGATTAAGGCCGTTCACCCCAATGCATCTCCAAATGGATATCTGGCTTTGCTAGCAGGCATGTCCTGACAAGACCTATCCTGGGTGGCAACCTGGTGCTTCATGAACATGTTGGCAATACATTACCCTATTGCATGCATGGCCATTACACAGGCCACCACAGGTCAAGCCAAACTTCACTTTCACTGGCATCCTTGCACCCACAGCCACGCTGCTTGTGAGCCCCGTGTGGAATACACAGAGGGCCCCATCGCCAGAAGAAGAGGAGGAGATTTGCCAGCAACTGAATGTTCTTTGAGGTGTGTGGTCACTACCTACCCTACGTCCCCTCAGCTTTGGATTGGCTTCTATGAAGACCAGTGGGACACGGGAGAGGGGTTCCCGTTGGGAACAGGAGAAGATGTGCTATGAGCATGCGGGTCAATGGACAATGGGGAGAAAACTTCTACATGTCGGCAGATGGCGTGAATGTGCACCCATGTGTTAAATACAGATAGGTACCATACATCCCACAGAACTTCTAATTATAGGCAAGTAACCTCCCCTGATCATTAAAATATTTATTAAATAATGTTACCCTCTGATACTCTCCCTTTAAATGTGTACTTTTTAGTATATTGACTATCCTCCTCCTTGAACCTTTTGAAACACACGCACCCAAATACACAGACACACATACAATACCATATCTGATGTGGTTTAATGCATTTAGCTTCAGGAGCAAAATTGTATTTATGAAGCTGCAACCTCTGTTCCACTTTCCTGTTATATTTATCACTTTTGCAATTGGAACGGATAAACTACATTGCCTGGCTAAGGGATGTCTAGTTAACTTATCCCTGTGCATGTGGCCTTACACGGGAATAGTAAATCTGGTTACTTTTGGAGACGCTTTGGGGCAATAGTGGAATTGCAATTCTTTCCAAACATTTGAGTTCTAATTGTGATCTGTTTGCAAATGAATGGCCCAAAAGAAGTTTGCAGTTCCTAGGACTGAGTCTCCTCTGAGTTACACCACTGAAAGTCAAGAGTGATTTAATCAGAGACAACTGTTAATCTACAAAGTGCTACCAGACCATTTGTTGTTGTTGTTTTTTTGTAATTTATCCTGTACAGACTAACTTGGCTACCCCCTGAAGCTTCTGTACAAAAACAGTATGAAATCAGAATCATGCCCTTTGGATCATGATCCAAAAGCTAGGACCCTATCCCTTTACTAGAACTCCTTGTCCCTATCCCAGCAGCAGACCCATAAATGTAATAACAAGGAGAGCTTAGTATTTATACGTGCTATGGTAAAATGTAGCACGCAAAAAATTGAAACGTCAGGAAATTTACAAACATTGCTGTAACAATGGGTAATCTGGTGGTGCACTACTGTCAGTAACAATTCGGGGCAAATTGGAGACAAGGCTGCCTCAGTTCAAGACTGGGGATCCTTCACTTCCAAGGTACCCCAAGCCAGCCCAAAAGAGAACTTCTTCTGTTTCACCACTCGGGCTGGCAAGAAATCCTACAAGCAATTTCCTAGACACTTCAGTTCCCCTGCAATAGCACTCTTCAGAGGGATGAGTGATTACGAAAACCATTCTCGGCAAATAAAAGGTGGCTCTGATCCCAACGGATCAGCCACACGCTCAGGCCAATTTATAACTCAGATCTTATCCAAAAGTCACCCTGTTGCCAATCCTTTCGTATCTAAAAGTTTATTCAAGGAAGGAAGGAAATAGAATTGGCTAAAGGAATCAAATACATACAGCAATTGCCAAGTACTTGCTTCAGGTTTGCCGCGGTGATGGACTTAACTGCTGGCTTAAGTCAAGTCTCAGGAGTCCATCCTCCGCTTGGATGAGCCATTGAGTCCTTAAAGAGCTTTAGTTTGTAGCAAAGTTCCTTCAGAAGTAGGAAGCGGGATTGAAGACAAAATGGAGGGGTTTCCAGGGCCTCTTATATCCTCTGCCATGTGGAAGGAAACCCATTGTGCTTAGTGTGGAAATTTTAAATTACAGCCTCAAGTTAGAGTTTGGAGTCACATGGGCACAACACATGTCCATGCATGACTCTGCTCTTTACAGGTAGAAGCCTTTGCCCCCATACAAGTCTGAATGTACAAAAGAAGGCTTATCAGACTTCGATTGTCCCTTCCAAGGCCCATTTTATTCAACTTGAACAACCCTTCCACATAATACACAGCTCAAATGTTTCACGAGTGCTACTCAAAATCAAGGATGCTGAAATAAATTACAAGCACATAGCCAAAGCTCACACCTTCAAACACAAAAGTGATAAATGCATACACAGCATCATCGTAACCAGCAAATCATAAGCGTTTCATAGACCACCTCACTTGGCCCACGCTGTACAAGATTTGTTGCAAATGTATAACAATGTTTGCAACAGTGATCTAAATGGTCATATTTGAATCAGGTAATGTCCAATCGCCAAAGTGATTTCATCTCTGCTGCTTTGACAGACTCAGAGGTTCACACATCACCCATTTTATCTATCAAAATATACCATGTGCTGCCAGGAAAGTCTCAAAGTTTGTTACGATCTGGGAACCACCTGGGTGTTGCTTTTAGTACATGGAAGTTCAGGTGTCGAGTACCCCGCAGCAGCTAACCTTGCTGTGGTCAAAGGGAAAGTCTCACCGTATGCTTAAGACACTTGGTCAAAGGAGGCCTGAGTTTGAATCTGGACTCTGATGCTTACTTCCTGTCTGATATCGGGCAAGTCGCTTTCTTTGTGCGTCTCTGTTTTGCATTCATAAAGTTCAGATAAACATCCCTATCTTGGAGATGTGTCGTTAGTGTCCATTAGTATCGCTAGTGTCAATATAATGAGAAAAGCCAAAAAGTAGTTTTGAAGAACAGTTAGCCAAAACCTCAAAAAGTAATAGCAAAATGTTTAAGTACATCAGGAGCAGGAAGCCGGCTAAACAACCCAGACGGCCCTTGACCGATCGAGATGCTAAAGGAGCACTCAAAGATGATAAAGTCATTACAGAGAAGCTAAATGAACACTTTGCTTAATTCTTCACGGCTGACGATATTGGGGAGATTCCCAAACCTGAGCCGTTCCTTTTAGGTGACAAATCTCAGGAATTGTCTCAGATTGAAGTGTCATTAGAGGAGGTTTTGGAACAAATAGATAAACTGAACAGCAACCAAGATGGCATTCACCCAGCAGTTCTGAAAGCACTCACGTGGGAAATTGTGAAACTATATGAACTGGGGTTTGTAACCTAACCTTTAAATCCGCTTCTGTACCTCTGACTGGAAGATAGCTAATGTGACACCAGTATTTAAAAGGGTTTCTAGAGGTGATCCCGGCAGTTACAGACTGGTAAGTCTAATGTCGGTACTGGGCAAATCAGTTGAAACTATAGTAAAGAATAAAATTGTCAGACACTACTGGCTACGTCTACACTGGCAAGATTTTGCGCAAATACTTTTAACGCAAGAATTTTTGCGCTAAAGTACTTGCACAAGAGAGTATCTACACTGGCATGTGCATTTGCACAAGAGATGTGCTTTTGCGCAAAAGCATCTATGCCAGTGTAGATGCTCTCTTGCCCAAGAAGGCGCCGATGGCCGTTTTAGCCATCTTGCTTTTTTGCACAAGAAATTCATGTTGCCTGTCTACTCTGGCCTCTTGTGCAAGAACAGTTGCGCAAGAGGACTTTTTCCTGAGTGGGAGCATCATAGTTCTTGCGCAAGAAGCACTGATTTCACACATTTAGAATGTCAGCGTTCTTGCGCAAGAACTCCCCGCCAGTGTAGACAGGCAGCATGTTTTTGCACAAAAGTGGCTGCTTTTGCACAAAATCATGCCAATGTAGCCATTGATTAACATTATTTGTTGGGGAAAGTTCAACACTGTTTCTACTAAGGAAAAATCATGCCTTACTAATCTAGTAGGGTTCTTTGAGGGTGTCAACAAACATGTGGACAAGAGGGATCTAGTGGATATAGTGTATAGAAATCTTAGATTTCCAGAATGCCTTTGATATGGTCCGTCACCAAAGGCTCTTAAGTAAAGTAAGTGGTCCTGGGATAAGAGGGGAGGTCCTTTCATGGAATGATAACTTGTTAAAAGACAGAGAATGAAGGGTAGGAATAAATGTTCAGTTTTAGTGGTGTCCCCCCAAGGTCCCATACTGTGACCAATCCTATTCAACTTATTTACATGATCTGGAGAAAGGGGTAAACAGGGAGGTGGCAAAATTTGCAGATGATACCAACCTACTTAAGATAGTTAAGAACAAAGCAGACTGAAGAGGTAAAAAGAAGTTCTCACAAAACTCAGTGATTGGGCAACAAAATGACAAATGTAAAATAATGCACATTGGAGAAAATAATCCCAACTATACATACAATAGGATGGGAACTAATTTAGCTGTAACCACTCGAGAGAGATCTTGGCGTCCTTGTGGAGAGTTTTCTGAAAACTTCCACTCAATGCACAGCAGCAGTCGAAAAAATTAAACAACGTTAGGAATCATTACAAAAAGGGATAGAGAATAAGACAGAGTATCTTATTGTCTCTCTCTGAAACCATGGTATGCCCACATCATGAATAGCGCGTACAGCTGTGCTCGCCACATCTCAAAAAAAAAATATTGGCACTAGAAAAGGACAGAAAAGGGCAACAAACATGATTAGGGTCCCATATGAAGAGAAATTAAAAGGACTTGGACTTTTCAACTTAGAAAAGAGGAGACCAATGGGGGATATGATAGAGTTCTATAAAATCCTGACTGGCGTGGAAAAAGTGAAAAGGAAAAGTTATTTGCTTGTTTCCCATAACATAAGAACTAGGGATCACCAAATGAAATCAATAGGTAGCAGGCTTAAAACAAACAAAAGGAAGTTTTTCTTCACACTGCGCACGGTCTGCCTGTGGAACTCCTTGCCAGAGGAGATTGTGAAGATCAGGACTTTAACAAGGTTCGAGAGAGAACTAGATAAATTGATGGAGGTTAGGTCTATCAATGGCTATTAGCCAGGATAGGTAGGAATGGTGTCCCTAGCCTGTCAAAGGCTGGGTATGGGTGACGGGAGAGGGATTGCTTGATGATTCCCTGTTCTGTTCACTCCCTCCGGGGCATCTGGCATTAGCCACTAACGGAAGACAGGACATTGGGCTAGAATGACCATTGGTCTGACCCAGTATGGCCCTTCTTAATATGCTTGTGGGGTGCACAAATATTGCAGTGAGGGGCCATGTAAGTGCCCATACAGAGAGGATTTTTGGAGGGCTGGAAATCCTCTTGCTACTGACCATAAGATGAGCAGTTATAATTCCCACTGGAGATCTCAAGGGCATTCTACGGACACAGGAGCGTCTACGGGCGTCCTTCCACTATCTAGTAAACCCTCCCAACATGCCTTTTGTGACTCTCCAACCCCGCTGGTACCCTGTTCCCTATCAGCGGCATTTCAACTGTAATCTGTCAATTCAGCCCGGACCCAGTTGCAGATTTTCTGTCATAAGCACCTTGCACCAGGGCATATGACGGCTTAAGCTAGTAGAGAATAAGATTTTGTGTAGATAGCAGCTTTGGTACCAAAGGCTGATACCAAAGAGACATTGATCCAGAGGCTTCCCCTGCCACCACTGAGAAGCCAGAATTTAAACCAGCCTACCAGTGGTTAGCTGTTTTCTACTCCTTGTGGGACGCTGTGAATTCCTACCACCGGGTGGTGCATTCAAATAGTAGAAGAAGCACTCACACTAGCTCCTTCACCTGACACACAATGGAGCTACAAACACTACAGCCTCTCCTGCTCCCAGAGAAAAGCTTTGGGACAATGTTGCCTCAAGGTAAGAATGAGCAAGTCTCCTTTTTTGGGATGAAGGGTGTCGCCTTTCCTAATAACTTGGTAGGGATTAACTTCCATTGTTGACTTACCGCATTCGTAGAGTGACCTGGATGTTCACTTTCCTGCGCCTGAAGGGTACTCGGGACCTGGGAGCCATCCCTGTGTTTAAAGTTGAGCATGGGCTGTACTGGGGATCAAACACACAGTTATGAAGGATCAAACACACAGTTATGAAGCTTAAACCTGAAATTCTTGGACACACCATGCGACAAGAAGGGCAAGATTTCGGGGGAACCATATAATTGAACAGGGTCGATAAAACAGCCACATCTAGTGATGACATGCATTTTGCCCGTTCACCCTCTGAGCTCTGTATAAATGTACAGGCTCTCCCCAGGTAAGGCTGAGTACGGCAACGTAGCGTGTGCAATCCATCCTCCCAAGTGCAGTTGGCTCCCTGCTATTTAAGTGGCATTGCTTTTTAGCATCCCATGCATTCCCATCGATCGACACAGCTCAGAACATTGCTGTGAAACCTTTTGCTAGCAAGCTCCTTATTGAAGAGCCCAGTAACACAAAAGATTTGTGTTTTGTGGGGGATTTTCTTCCAGATCTTTGTACAACTTTAGCAGGGTGCTAATGGGTTCTCCACATTCAGACAATATATGAATCTCCTGAGCAGAGTTTTAATTCGATTTTTTTTTTAAATGCCAGGGCAAGTGAACACATCTGCATTCCCAGTGGGTTTTTTTGTCATTTTTCTGCAGTCTGGGTAGCAGCCCCGCTTGCTCCTGGCTTGAGTTATGGCTCAGCTCAGGGGCATCTATAGTACCTGTGTGCCTCCCATTACCACCATCTTGAGTGGATTTATTCTTATCTCACCTTTGTGAGGTAAGAGCTGCGCCGTTACTTTGCCGCTATCCCCATTTTAGCGAGACTACATGACTTCCCTCCCAGGTCACACACAAAGGTGACCCCCTTGGAGTCCCAAATCCTAGAGGTACTGCTCTAACCACTGGGCCTCCTTTTTTCTTGCACTCCTTTATAAACATTTTTTCTTCATACGTGAAACTGCAAGGCAGAGCAGATATACAAGTCTAAGGATTTGAATGGCTAACATCAGCGCTAATTACATGTATCTGCATTTCTAATGAAGAATTGAAATGACTAGAATTGGGAAAAGACCCAGCTGCATAATGTGCCAAAAAGCTTACTGGTATTTTAAGCCCTGATTCAGTAGTTTATCCCTACCCAACAAAACACTTAAACATGTGCTTAAACACTATTCTGTGTTGGAGGCTTAATATAAATCCTTTCCGTAAACTCCTATTTGCTGTTTTTATATACAGCACTTCACCCTCCTGTGTAGCATAGATGAGTCATTTTAGCACAGATCATATTGCTTTACAAGATGGTACAGCTGGCCTCTTTCAGAGCTTTATAAAAGCATTTATATCAATAACTGCCCTGAAGCTCAATAATGACAAAAATGTACTGGCGAGTCATCTTAGATGCTTGTCATATACCTTCCCCGCACCACCTCCTTTCTTCCTCCTACATAGCTGCCAATAACCAGGAGGGCTGAGGTGGTAAAAATTTTTAAAACAATTTGCTTGAGAGAGGTTTTAAATGACACTGGCTCAGATTAAATGTGACGCCTCTTGCCAAATGCATGTGTTCCAGTGAAGAAATCTGTAGACACTTACACGTTTTCATGAGTGTCGTTGGAAAATGTGACCATTGTCAAACTAAGCCAGCAAATGAGCAGAATTGCCCCTTTCCCTTGGAAGATCCTGTGGGAGGTGGATAAAGGAGAATACATCTTTAAGGCTCCCTTTGTGCAGCTTTCTCTCCATGTGTTCTGTTGATTTTTCCTCTCTTCCCAGCCTATAAACGTTGATGTTCATTCAACTGTCCAAGGAAGTAAGCATGGAAGTGTTTTGGGGTAGAGATCACCAGGGTGAGGTCAAAGATGAGGAGAACTGAATAATTTGCTAAGAGGCATTGCAGTGGTATTGGGGGTGATCACGTGGAAGGAGATTCTAGAGGACGTCCATCTTCCTCAGTTATGGGCGTTATTTCAAAATAACTCCTCTTGGGTCGAATTCGTGAGAGGGAGCGTCCACACAACCAAGACCACAGACCACTTCTTTTGAAATCTGTATTCCTGCTTTCCTCCAGGAATAACGCTAAATTCGAAATAGTTATTTTGAAATCATGTGAGTGTGGATGCTCCAGTGCCGCTATTTCAAAATAACTCCCCAGAGTAATTCCAACTAATTACTCCCCAGTGCTTCCTGGGGCTGTAAGTCAAGGTAGCGCATTCACATTAACGGAGACTGTATTGGACTAGTTTTGAGGATTCCCCATAGCGGGGACATGCTATTTTGATTTTTGTAGAATCAGGAGTTAAGTCGAATTTAGTTATTCTGACGTAATTTCCTAGTGTAGACATGGCTTCAGTGACAAGTGCATGTTGATTATTAGATCAGTCAAGAATTCAGCCGTTGGGAAATCAAGTGAAACAGGCGTCTTAATGGAGAGGGAATGCTACAAGTATTCCTGCTCTATAGGGACGGTGCACGGCCAGAAGATAAATTCAGTAATCTGACCATTCCTTTTTTCTGTCTTTTATTTTCATGTCTCTATCATTTATATTGCATGTAGAAAACCGTTTCTCCTCCATGGTAAGTTTCATTTGGTGGAACTGGTAATAGGTTCAGAACACTTGTATTTAGGTGATTGGTTCAAATCCCAGGCCAAATCACTAATGACTGGACATTGTTACCTTCTGGTGCTCGTGCATTAGTCTTTCAGCCAAGAGCTGATAATTCTAATCTATTTCCACATGGACAATTGCCCAGGTTACTAACACCCCAAGTACTGAACCTGGCTGGCTATCTGAGGAGAGAGGTGTTGGAGAAGGAATTGCCCAGCTTAAACAATTCCTCTACATTAGGACTAAGGGACATGGCTGGCCACATGTTATTCGTGCTGTACGGCTTTCACTGAGCTGATCTGTGCTTTACCTTTTCTGTGATTCAATAATGGACTGTAGTGCATACAAAACATGTTTCATTGACAGCCCTAGACACTACCGATTGCACAAGAAACATATATGAAAAACCTCTTTGATTTGAGGCCATTAGAGCCTTCACTGGCCAATTACTATAACGAACTGCTCAGCTGAAGCATGCAGTGAATGCATTTTTTTTTCTTGGAATGAAAGATACAACCCTGTTGGAAAGGGCTTGCCATCTTCATAAAGATGCTATCTCAGGATGTGTGTGTTTATTTTGCAACATCAGTGTGTACACTAATACAGTGCTTGCTTCTGAAGTCGTCATTATAGCACACAGAAAAATGAGGTACAGCTGTTCTTTCTAGCTCTAAGGATAGTAAAACAGCCATGTTCTCTCCAGGACTGCTGTGTGCTAAAGTTGCCAAAGGATGACTTTTTAATGGAGACCACTACATAGCTTTTTTAGGGTTTTTGGCTGTACAAATCTTGATAAGATGCCTTCTCTTTTTACCCATTCCATGTTTAAATGATTCTCATAATTTTGGCTTCATTCGAATAAGAGTGCATTGACTACTAGTTTGTAGTATGTCAAAAAAGAAGAACTACATTCTTTACCTAAATGAGAGCAAGCAGCATTTGGTTTAATTCCCATTCTGCTAGTTGTCCATAGATATATGCCAGAAAAAGCAATTACCAAATAGCAGGGACGTGGTATCTGTATGTTCTTTTGAACACTCCATGACTGTTCAAAAAAACAAATGGTCTGGTAGCACTTTATAGACTAACAAAACACATGGATGGTAGATGCACAGCCCACTTTTTCAGACGACCATGACTGTTCAGTTAATCACATTGGCTTTTTGGGAGTGTAGTGGGGATAGAAGCAAAATAGACATTTTTGGTGCATGTCAATCGCGCACAGGTTACTCATGAGAATTGATTGCTGTTTGATGCTTATCTGTTGCCTGTTTTATTAAAGTGCTGTTGAGAAGATTAATAAGCAAATGCTGCTTTTACTCTGAAGACCAAATAGCCCCAAGAGATGTTTCTACCCCTTTTACTGGAATGGCTGTATTCTTTAAGAGTCTGGGCCCTCTGTTTTCAAGCAACTAGTGATTTTAGGTGCTTTACTTTTTGGGTGCTGAACTTGACACTTTAGACCTCATTTTCAGTAGGTGCTGAGACCAGGTCAGCTCTAACTCATCTCACATTGGATACACAATATCACTGGGGTCTTCACTCTTCTGATCTGAGGCCCCTAGCCTTCTAGAAGCAAGAATTATGGAATCTCTAGCCAGTGGCCATCTTACCACCTTGAGTCAGCAGGGTCCAAATTCAGGTTGTACAAGGAAATAAAGGCTCAGATTGCATGTTCCCATCCTGATAACTTTTCACCAGTAATATCTGAGGCGGCGTTCCAGCTTGCAATCCATGATGGGGCATGAGGGCTGTAAATGTTTCCTTGACTGGCTGCATGCCCAGAAATTCCATGGACCCTGGGGGAGCTGAGGTAATGGAATGTTGAGGCTTCCCCTTTCCTTGTGTGATTGGTCAGTGGTGGAAGTACAGAACACACGAACATCAATGTATTGTTGTGAGCACAATACCTCCCGGAATACACAGGTGTTAACAGAATTCTTGCACCAGGGAAGGGGTGGGACCTTTGTATCTAGTGAGTCTGAAGCCCCTGTATTAAAATCAGTGTGAGGGGTTTTTTTTATCCCACACATCAAGCAAATACAAAAATGGAATGAGGCTGGTTTACACCAGCGGGGGATCTGATTCTGGTTCTATATCTGCTTGCTTTCACACACAAGCGAGCAACTGAAGAGCAAGGAGGACTTGATGGGGCCAGCCTCACCCCCATCAACACAGCAGGGCTTTGCCAATTTACCCAGCCAAGACGCTGACCTTTAAAATGCAACTTAGTGAATTTTGCAGCAACATCTTAATTCTGAGGCAAACTTCTGCAATGGCAGAAGATCAGGGACATGGCTTAATAGTCTGCCATAAAGAGTCTAAACCTTTCAAGAGAACAGTGCTTAATTTCAACTGCTATCATATTTAATGCTTTAAAGGGGAGACTCTGTTTTAGTGTTCATTTTTTACTAGCTTGGTACTAATTCAGCAATCAAGAAAGGGAGCCCTTAATAACAAACTATCGGTTAAAGATAAGAAGCTGTCCATCAACACTTGCTGTCTTTTCAACTTGAATGTGATGCAATAAATTGTTTATAATTTGCTGTTGGATTTAATAGTCTAAAACATTTCTGGTGTTAGGAATTCAGTGAGAAGCATTTTGATAATCCTAATATAACTGGCCTTATTTTGCTCTTTCCCCAATGTGCATCTGGAGTAACACTTCACTGAAGTCTGTAGATTTAATTTCCACAGAGTAAATCTGATGTGAGACCAGAATCAAGCCCTTATGTGCTGCATTTTCAAACGTCTGTTTTCACATGACTGCATGTGGGTGAGGTACTAGAAAATGATGATTTTAATGGGACACAGGAGAGCATGTATATTAAAAATTACAGAGTAAAGTGGCATGACTGGTTTACTTTGAAGGTGAAATGGATAAAATTACATCGCAAAAATGAAGCAGGAACGAGGGGGGAAAAATCACCTAGTGAAGAAGTCCGCACAAGTCTCTGTCTACTTAAGCTGGGATTTTCCCAAAGCACTGGGGCAGTTTAGGGAGCACAGGATGGGATTTCCAAAGAACTGACATGATTTAGGAGCAAAGTCCTTGCGTCTCTCGCTGAAGTCACATAAGTACGCTTGAAAATTCTACCTGCTAGCAAAATATTCAAAATTAAAATGGTCTTTGCCGTAGTAAGGCTCCTTGTGCACTTGGGTGAATTTCTTCTTTAGCTGGAGAATGGAGGTGAATAAAATGTTAGAAATGCTTCCATAAATATAATCTTACACTGCACCGGTCCATGGTGTTCCTTTATGCGTTCTCCCCTCCCCCCCTCCGACTTCTCTGTTGCTCCTGGGCCTGCAAGATACAGCAGTGCAGATGATCTCACACACTCTGTGTGTGGGGGGGTGGGGGGGGGAGCTTTCTTAGGTTTGGGGCACTGACCCACAGAAAAAATCAGTTGCAAATGAGGCTAAGAGTGGAATATCGCCGAGCCTCATTTGCATTCTTAATGAGCTACCATTTTTTTCAGAAGAGGCTCTTGCGCAAGAAGGAGCATCTACACCGCCCCTTCTTGTGCAAGAAAACCCCTCTTGCGCAATGTTGTTCTTCCCGAAAAGTAATAGGTGTAACGACATTGCACAAGAGGGTTTTTCTTGCGCAAGAAGGGGCTGTGTAGATGCTCCTCCTTGCGCAAGAGCCTCTTCTGAAAAAAGGTGGCTCATTAGGTATGCAAATGAGGTTTGGCGATATTCCATGCTTAGCCTCATTTGCATATGACTCACGCAAGAAGCTGTGAGTGTAGACATAGCCAAAGTGAGAAGGGACTTGGACCCCAAGTGAGGGGGGGGGGAACCAGAGACCCTGCACTCCCCTCAAGCTCTAGCTCCATGACATGGGGGTTGCTGATATTCGGGCTTAGCTCCAGTGCCCAATTAATTCTTCTGGGGACCTGGGCCTAGTAGATTTTGTGGGGCCCCCAGGCTCTGTAGTGGGGCTGAAATGGGAGGTTCGGTGTGTGGGAGGGTACTGCCTGCGAGTGGGGATTGGACCGGGAGGTAGGGTGCAGGAGCCGGCTGGGGCTGGTGGTGAAGAGTTTGGGCCATGGGTTGAGTGCAGGAATGGGTGGGGGTGAAGAGGCTGAGTGGAAGGGGGCAGCATATTTGGGAGCCCATGGGCCGCTTTTGGGGGGAGGGGGGAGGCATCTCAATGTGGGCACCTCCCCCCCCTTCCGCTCCCATTGGCTGGGATTCCCAGACGGTAGGTGCCTTGATCTGGACACTGAGGCTTGGAGCTCTCCCCACCCCCCAACGCATGCCTGGAGCTCCTGCTCTAGCTTGGATCCTCTGCCCCTGCCTCTCACACACAGCAGGGTGAGCCCCAAGCCTCGTGGGCTGGACCAAGGCAAGCCTAGGGCTGGATCCAGCCTGTGGACCGTAGGTTCCCCATCCCTGCTTGATCACATCTTATCTACACAGCTAGATTGGTATCACTGCCATTGTGTGTGGCGATTTAGTAAGTCTGATGAAGACCTGCTAAGTCAATGGGAGAGTGCTCTTCTGTCAGCATAGTGCAGGGTAGACACCGCTTCTGCTCCTCAGGGAGGTGGAGCACTGATGTCCAGAGGAGAGTGCCTTGCCATCAATGCACGTCTTCACCAGACCCAACGAGTTGATGCTCTACATCAATTTCAGTGGCAGCGATTTAGCGGGTCAGTTTAGGCAAGCCCAGTGATCTGCACAAGTTCCAACAAGGGACTGATCTCCCAATTATGAGCCATTGGTCAGAATTACAAAAAGGTTTCTCCCTGGCACAGCAAACACAAAGGAGCAGGACACAAAGGGACGGGACCAAACACAGCAAGGCCCTCTTTTCAAAAGGGCACATCCATGAATCCCACAAACCTCCAATCTGCCCACACCTGTGTACTGATGAATAGGTCTGTATGCAAACCCAACATGCACTTCTGTGCCCAGGTCAGGCGTGAAAAAATATCTAGACCCAAGCGACTAATACTATTAAAGGAGAAGAGAGGAAGTGTTTGGGCACCCAAATGGATGTCACTTTTAAATGACACTTTTTGAAAATTTAAAAATCCCCCCCCCCCTTCTTCTCTCTCCAGGTTGACAGCTGCTGTTTTATTGCCACATGGCAGGTGGTGGAGGTAAGCAGTCCAAGCAGCTCTGATTGTATTTGCCAGGAGGTCATTGGCAGGGCATCACTGTAGCTTTTACACTTTGCTCTCTCCCTTCGCCTGGGCACATGAGCAGGAGGCCAATGCCAAGGCTGAATGAAATATTATTTTTCTGGAAGCACAAAAGCTGTTTTCTGTCTTGGGTTTGAGGCAGGAACGCTTACAGACGTCGGCGAGAATCCAAATCCTTGTTCGATTTAGGGAAAAGTTTTCTGTTTTGATTTTTGATACCGTGTCTGAAAGAGAAGACACTGTGGAGATCCTCTTGACAGCATTAGATGGTTTCAGGCGAATGTCTCCTTTTTATTATTTTTTTGAAAATACTTCATTTTCCATGGCAGAACGTATACAATGCTGTTCCTCTTAGTACAATGGGTCATGTCCTCAGCTGGTGTAAATGAGTCCAGTTCATTGACCACAATAATCATTAGAGCTAGACTAATTGTGATTCGTTACATTCTAAAACACGGGGGTCAGATATGACAAAAGACCTTCAAGATCTTCAATGAGCACAGGCAGAATATTTCCTTTTGGGCTGGCTTTTTTGGTGAGATTGTGACTAGCAGACTTCCTTTCTTTTTTTCTTCTTGTGGTGCTAGGGAATGTAACAAAACAAAGGGGGAATCATATTTCATGATCATTACAACTGTGGCCAGCAGAAGCCTCAAAGATTTATGGGATTCTGAAAAACGAGGTGTTTCATTATATTCCCTGGAGTTAGGTGTAATATCTGCTGGTGATATGATTTTTACACTTGGATAACCCCAGTGAATTGCAGTTTGACTCTTGATTGAGGCTTTCCCCTTATGCCGGTGTTACTAGTGTTAACCATGCTTTGGAAACTTTTAATATGTTGCCTTCTTTGTAATCAGTATACGGTACAGGGAGTGACTGAATTTTTTTCTCTCCTCATTTCTTTGTGTAGCCAAATTCCAACACTGTCTACTTGAGTAAAACATGTATTGGCTTTGTTTGGTATGATGGACAAGCAACAAGGGAGAAATGTTTGACCTTGTGCCTTCCACGGTTTGTTCTTTGTTATCAAAGGGCTAAACTCCAGTCTCAGTTGCACAGAATTGAACATGAAGAAACTCCATGTAAGTCTCTAGTCATTTTGGATTGAAACCGGTCGTATATAGAGGTATAAACTCTTCAGGAAGGGCAGGCTGGGGGAGAAAAGGTGGAGGAGTCGCACTATATGTAAGAGAACAGTGAGATTGCTCAGCATTCCAGTATGAAACTAGACAAAGGCTCGTTGACAATTGTTGGGTTAAGATTAGAGATAAGAGCAAAGAGCGATGCCATGGAGGGCATCTGCTGTAGACCCCTAGATTGGGAGGATGAGGTAGATAAGGCTTTATTTGAACTAACAGAATCCAGATCCCAGGCCCCAGTTTTCACGGGGGACTTTAATCACCCTGAGAGTTTCCGGGAGAGGAATGCAGCAGTGCACAGACAACTCAGGAAGTTTTTGGATAACATTGGGGACAACTTCCTGGGGCAAGTGCTGGAGGAACCAATTAGGGTTCATGCTCTACTTGACCTGCTCACAAACAGGGAGGAATTGGTAGGGGAAGTAGAGGTAGGTGGCATCTTGGGCAGCAGTGACCACAAGAT